TTGATCTGCATTAATTCTGAACTGTTGTGTGTGTGGCGGGAGTTTAATCTCCACTGCACTCTGCTCCCATCCTAGCCTTCTTTTTCAAATGCTCCTGGCTATTTTTACATGCTGGTTTTTTTTCCAGATGAAGATTGAGGTCATTTATCGTAGTATTCTGGCTTATGTTTGAGCCTGAGGGCAGAGAGTCTTTCTCTTTTATGTTGTTTTGATTCTAAGAAATACTGAAGTGTACATGAGGCAAAATAATACGAGTGTGTGATGTGTGCCTGCAGCGAGGTGTGTTTCTGCTGCCGTCTGGTCACGTGGGTCCCACCTTCCTGTATCTCTGTCCACACAGCAGTTCTGTTGTCCACACAAATAACACATAAATGTCAACAGTTGTACAGTTTAGTAATTTGTGTGTTGTGTGTGTGTATATATATATATATATATATATATATATATATGCATATACACACGTTCATGAGATTCGTAAATATGCATTACAGTTATGCTTGTGTGGTACATTTCTAAGTAATTTTCTTTGACATAATAGAGATTATGCTTCACAGTTAATTCGCTGCAACCTAGTCTACATTTTTTGCTCTTCGTGATTTCTTGACAGTTAACACAGATTATATTATTTTTAGGCCTTTCCCGCTTTAAAATGACCTTATGGAAAAAATTTAAATGACTGCCTATTTTCTTGCCTAAATCATTTTGCAAGTTGACTTGTATTTTTAGAGAGAATGTGTTTCACATTTACATGTGTCTTAGAGCAGCTCTTAGAAGTATTGGTGCCAAAGAATCCATGGAGGTTCTCAGACACTCCCTAAGGATACCCTGACTTTACTCAGAGTGACAGAGCTGTGGTAATAATTCATGCCATCATACTGTGTAGATTGAATACATAAGTGGTTGTTAATGTGCAAATATTATCAGCCGGTTTAAAAAGGTCCTGTTTGAAACAACTGGCTGCTTAGTAATTGCTGACTTACTGACTGGAGCCTAAGCAGTTGTGGAGCCTTAAGCGGTCCCTAACTGTTCTGTGCCCCAGGCTTCTTTCTTTTCTACAAAACAAAGGACTCCTTAGAACAGTTCTGGCTCATCCCTCCAGGGCACCTCCTGACACTGCCTGTCCCGCAGGTGAGTGTTCCAAGAAGTTTTTTAAGAAGAGGCTGTGCTGCATTTTGTGAGGAAGAGACCTTTTAAAATAAACACTGTGCTGTGTACCCTGGAGGTTTGCAGTTGGATCCCTGGGTGAGACCCATGCAGGTAGTGAGGTGGTTACTGTAGTGACGCATATAACCGCAGCTTATCATTGCATCCACTTTTTTTTTTTTTTTTTTTTTTTTTTTTTTTGTGGCGAGGACAGCTACAATCAAGTTCTTTAGCAAAAAATTCTTTTACTAGAACACCAGGATGTTATTTATAGCCCTGGCGCTGTGGCCTTGATCTCTGAGCTTGTTCCCCTCTGTGGCTGCTAGGCTGTGTCCCGAGAGCATTGCCCCCCACCGCTAGATTCTGCTAAATTAAATAAGCCAGATGCAGAAAGGAAAAGGTTACACGACTCACTTATCCATGGGAGCTGCAAGGGGGAGAGACATTTTTTAATTAAGTTTATTGGTGCGTTTTAGACATGCGTAATGACCACATTCATCACACGAATTTGTATTGGACGTGCTGGATGGTGCTTGTTTTCCCTTCCTGTTCCCCTCTGCTCCTTTCAGTCTCTCTTCCCTCCCATCTGCGATCTTGGTTTCCATTTTGTCCTTCTATTCCTTGTCTTCCTCTGCTCTTCTCCCCCAAGCCAGTTCTCCTTCCTGTGGACCAGTTTCTTTCTATTTCAAAGATCTATTATGACATAGTTGGCCCTCATTCACCCTTTCAGTTTCCCACACCACAGAAACAGTGCAGTATTTACCTATGTGAGTCCCCTTTATGTCACTTGGGATTATGGTCATCCATGTACCTAGAAATGTCTCAGGCTTATGTCTAAATACCTATCTATTTATCTATATATGTATACACATATCTTCTTTATTCATTCATGAGCTGATGGTCATTTGGGCTGTTTCCAAGATTTAGCTATTATAAATTGTGCTGTTATAAACATGGTGCACATGTATCGCTATGAGATGATGTTTTGAATTCTTCTGAGAAGATACCGAGAAGAGGGACAGCTGGGTCAAATGAGATCTCCAGTCGTGGTTTTCTGAGAAACCACCATCCTAATTTCCACAATGGTTGCACCAGCCTGCACTACCAGCAACAGTGGAGAAGGGTTTCTTTTTCCCCATAATGACACCAGCATTTGTTATTGGTTGATTGCTTGATAACAACAATTCTTTCTGGAGTGAGATAGAATATCTGCATTGTTTCAATTTGCCTCTCTTGAATGACCAGTGATGTTGGACCCTTTTTCGTTTATTTATTTATGATTTGTACTTCTTCGTCTGGGACATGTCTATTCATTTTAGGTGCCTGGTTTTGGATTGGGACTTTAAATTTATGGGGGGAGGATCTGATTTTTTTTAAGTTCTTTATATATTCTAGATATTACTCCTTTGAAGAATACCTGGCAAAACTTTTTTCTCACTCTGTGGGTCAACTGAAACTTTCACTCTAGAATGGGGTTTATGAATACAGTTTCCAAAGTTTCTTCTGTCTTTTCTTGAGGCTTTTTAGGAAGTTTAAAAAGAATGTGACCTGATAACCCACATTGGAAAGCATTATTGTTCTCCATCAAAAAGTTTATTGAAACTGACTAGAGATGGTGACAAAAGCAGTCACATGTAAAGGTAGTTATTTGGTGGATTAAACACTCATTGGAATTAATTTAGGGCTGAGGATTTAGCTCAGCGCCATGAGTGCCTGCCTGGCAAGCATGAGGTTGTGAGTTCGATCCATGATACCAAGGAGAGAAAAGGTAGAATTGACTTAAGGATGCTAAACAGGACTCATCAACTTGGTCTGAGGGGTTCACTGAGGATAGCGTTACCCATGCCTTTCCCTGTACTTTACTAAAAGGGGAACACGTACTTGACTAATATCTTCCCATGCTGAGAGACTTAATTATTTTTCATGATGTGCTGCAGCTGAACAGAGAATGTTCTTCAAATTGGCAACAGGGTGAGTTTATATTGTCAGCCAGTGTATTCTGCTAGCCTAGGTCATGGAATGGGTCTCCTCTGTCCTGTATGCCTTATAATAAGTTCTGTTCCATGACAAGCCCCTGCTGTGACATACCTGTCTCCTGGAGATTAGCTTCTGGACCCCCAGCAGGTGCCAAGATCTGGGAGGGATGTAGGAATGGCATGGTAGTTGCATGCTGTGTATGCACATCTTCCTGAATATACTTTACATCCTCTCTGGATTCCTTATGGTATCTAAAGAGTATCTTTGTTTTCTAAATGACGGCTCTGTTGCATTGTTTAGGGGTTAAATACAAAAAGAAGTCGGTAGGTCTTTAGTTCAGTTGCCTTTTTTCCCTCTTGGGTACCTTCGTTCTGATTGGTGGAACACATCAATCCCACTGATAAAGGCAGCCAGTTGTACTTGGAAAAAAGCCTGTCAGGAGCAATTAGGGGTTCTCCACCCACTTAAGGCAAAGCTCCCAGTCTCCTGCTAAAGAGGACCTTTGAGCAGGGAGAGGCTTCCTGCTTTGCCTATGTGTGGGTTAACTGTGCTATTACCAGGAGGCCAGAGTTCGCAGCCATCTGTGACTTCCATGTGGGTACAGAGTCCTAAGATGTGTCTGTGCTGTGTGTGTAAGTGTGTGCACTAGCCTGTGCAGAGCTAATACTATGAGAGTAATCTGAGATTGCTGCTGATAGTATTGCTCTGATTAGATGTTGAAGTGATGATAATTTTTATTTTTATTTATTTATTTGGTACCAGGAACTGAACTCACAACCTCACACTTGCCAAGCAGGTGCTGTGCTGCTGAGCTATATCTCCAGTGCTGAAGTGATAATACTTTCTATATAGATTAAATAAAGGGCAGTGTTAATGTCAGGGGGCTTCTTTTGTTTTTACTTTTTAATTGTGACTCCCTGTGTTTTTGGTTTTCTTTTGTTTTGTTTTGGGACAGAGTCTGGCTATGTAGCTTGGGCCATCCTTGAGTTCAGTATAGAGCCCAGGCTGGCCTGGAACACAATGACCATCTGCCTATGTCAGCCTCCCTAGCTAGCGTTACAGGGCGTGTGCTGCCGCACCCAGCCTTAGGAGGCTGTGTGAAACCTGAGATCCCATCAGCAGCTCATGATATATATCTCCCTGACTACATTGATCAAAAGTGGCTCAGGAAAACTTAAAAACTGGCAGCCTCCATGTTAAGGAAAATTTAATTAAATTTATATACACTCTGTTCTTTTATTTAGAAAGACTTGCATATTTAGTTCCTTTTGTTCTTTGTGCATAGGTTAGCAAATATCTCCTCCCAGCCACTTCGTAGATGAATTTAGCATGACTCTCCTTCGAGGTCTCCTGGGAATGTGCAGATCATTCTGTGAAACTATTTTTACCTACTCTACATTGATTTCTCCCTTCTCTGAACATATTTTGCATCAATAAAGTATACCAGAAAGCTGACACTTAATTAGATCCCATTTTAATGTAATCTAGAATGCTGTGTGTTTCTTAGATTAAAAGTGTTTTGAGGTGGGGGAAGCAAAATCTAGATTCTTCCTCTGTCCTCAGAGATGGTCATCTTCGTTCCACAGCAAACAGTCCGTGGATAGTTCTCCTTTGAGCAGTCGCCATTCTTGCAGTTTCCTGCAGCCCGCCTGGGAAGACCGCACCGGTACCTCCAAGCCGAGGCCTGTCATGCTGATTGAGCACCTTTGGCTAATCTAGTTCTTAATGTGGTGTTCAGGGAAAGAAAAGCTATGCCACTTCTATTAAAAACATGGAAAATTTGCCATTGCCCGTTTGTATCTCTGGTCTCTCCCTTGGTCCTTTTCTAATCTGTAATGTCTCCCCTTTCTTCTCTAAATCATTGGCGACTGCATGTTCAGGATGACGCCCGCCAACTCTTTGTGCTCGCTGGGGCCGCAGAAGAAGGTTTTATGACGGCAGAACTCGCTGGTGTTATAAAGAGATTGTGGAAAGATAGTGGCGTGCAAGCCTGTTTCAACAGATCCCGGGAGTACCAGCTGAACGACTCTGCAGCGTAGTAAGTATCATAACTTCAGAGCTGAGCTATCAGGAACACTTAACTTACGAATCAAATATAACCACCAAGTCGATTTTGTTGCCAGATTGGCTGACATGTTCTCGTACAACTCAGGATCTTCTGGATGACAATATTTGACAACTCTTTCTGTCTTTTGTGTTTGTAGATACTGACACCTTTATTTCCTGTGTGTTCCATAGTCTCAAGAGCTCCTCCTTACATGCGCTGTATTGGGAATATGCAGGAATGTTTCTAGGATATTTCCAAGACAGCAATTCAGCTTTAAGAAATTCACTGTGACTTTGAGTATATCGCTGTATATCCTAGTTTACTGGAAGTTAGCCAAAGAAGAGGATGACTGATATGGGTTCTTTTCTTCATTCTAATGGTGCCTTGGTCAGTGACAGACACTCAAAGTCAGACCTTGTAAAGGGATGCGTGAAGACCCCAAGATATTTTCTAAGTAAGATAGCTTTCCTCTTGGAAATTGTCAGTGGTAAACATCCTATGACGTTAGACACTGCTTACAGGTAACTAAGTGCAGGTTTCTGGTGGAAAACTCTGCCCTGATTTTGCAGGTGGTAACCCCAGAAAGTTTATAAAACAAGTTGTGATTGTTTGGGAATACAGATCAGCATGGTGCCTGCCTGTCAAACACCAGGTTATGAGTTTGATTCCCAGGACAGAAAATCCAACCAACAAATAAATATCCAACCAGTGTTCTGTTAGTGACCGACACAGAACAATCATATTTTTTAAAGCAAGTATTTTGCTCATAATTTGGCACACAAACTAACAAGTGCCAGACATTGTATCACTCTTTGCAGTGTCCACTGTGCACTGTTAATACTTTGCAGTATTGTTCTGCTTTGTGGACAGAGCTGTCGAGTTTTAGGAACAAAGGTGAAGATTTGATGGAAGATGACAGGTATTGCTAGATGCATCCATTTTTCCACAGTGAAAGACAGATCAGTGGGTTATGGAACCAGTGTGCGGTGTGACACATCACTGGCTGTGTCTCTGCGTGGTGTGCTGTGCACCTTATTTTGAGTAAATAAACATTGCACATCATGGTGTCACCCACAGCTGTATTTATAGTCCTCTTATTATAATCTACACTTTTAATGTTTGGTACCTCTATACATCATTGCATGGATGTATATAAGTATATGTAACGTATTTTTTTGATGAGTGGGACCAACTGGTACCATCACTTCTACACGGAAATACACCTGAGGCCAGCGGACACCCTCAGTGTACTTAGATCTCATAAACGCAAGGCACTTTTCCTTTAGAGTTACACTTCGAGGTTGTTTCCTTTGTATTTATCTTCTGATTTTCTTCATTTTCTGTCCCCCACCTCCACTCTGTAAGTTCGGGAATGTCGATTTTGACCACAGTGTAGCACTGTTACCATCATTACTTGTGTAACAGTAAGTAAATCAGCCAGACTTCACAGCGTAGAAGACTCGGTAGAGGAATCTCGTAGAGAAAGAACCAAACCCATGAGCCGTGTGAGCTGTGCTGCCGGCTCCACACTGGCAGGAATATTAAGCAGAATTCCTTTTACTATACAAAGATCACTCCCAGCTGCGTACAGCGAAAGGGCTGCTTGCGTGGCTCAGGAGGGGCATCTGGGGACAGTAGCCAGTGCTGTGTACTCACCAGGAGGGGCACATGCGGGCCCCCCAGTCCCTGGACCAAGCCTGCCTGCTTGTGCGCACTGTGAGGACTTCTGCCTCCTGTGCGTCCTCTTCTTGTCCTCCTGCCCCAGGATACAGTGATGCAGCCGTTTTTCAGGAATGAAAGAAATCATAGCGACCGTTTTTGCAGGATGATTCCAGGCACCTCGGTCTCCAGCTTTCTGGGAGAGGTAGCAGGGTCCTGCCAAATGCTCCTTTGGACGTCAAGTTGCCTGTTTGCTGCTTAAATTTGTGATCATTTAAAACATGGCAGCTTTTTACAATGCTTGTTTTTTTTTTTTTTTCTGTCTTGTTGAAATATAACTATGTATTTTTTAGAGGCTGTCAGAACTACAGCAGTTTTAATAACATGTATCTATGAGTAATCAGAACACATTTGAAAGAATAGCTGTTTTGAAGGAGCAGTAAAATCTTGCTACAGTTTTTGTTAAATCAATATTTGCAGGAATGTACAGTATCGTGTGGGATGAAAAGCACAGGAGAAATACTGGTGGAGGAGTCGTCAGCATTGTGATTTTTAAAAAAATCTGTAAAAATGATGCAGGTTGAGCATACCTGAAAAAGTCCAAAATCCCCCAAATCCAAAAATACTTCCGGTTCCAAACATTTGGGGTGTGGGATATGCAACCTGTGCAAGTGACCCAAGCTGTCATCTCCCTGTTTTCTGGTATCCCTGTACCTGACTGTCTGTAAACACTGTTGCTAATTCAGTGTTTACATCGCTTTCCAGCTCCTCCCAGAGCAAACACAATACCCAGAGCCAGGCTCAGGAGAGCCTTTAGTGTACACGAGGCGCCTCGGGTTCAGTCCCGAGCACCGCCAGAGCAGTGCGAGCAGCGGTACTAGTAATGTGCACATTTTGTTCCCAAGACCCTCTTCTAAATGGCTGAGCAGAGTGTCCGGAGGATAATTCCAGTTAGAAGGCATGCTAGTTGTGACTCTGTGCCTGTAAACTCATCTTCTGACTCAGAGGTCACTCTGAGACCCCAGCACGGCAAACACTGTGGTGACGTCGCCAGCACTGAGCAGAACGCAGGTTCCGTCCCAGCTTTTTGCTCAGGGCGGTGCCTGGGTCATGAGAGGGCTCCCTCTCCACGGGTTCAGACTGCTGTGCAGCTTCCGGTGGGGTTGACAGTCCCCGTTCTCCCTGTGGGTGCCGGCATGTCCATCCACAGCTGTCCCTGCCCACGAGTCCTCCTTCAGCAGCCCTGTTCCTCATCAGCTCCTCCGTACCCCAACTTCCTGTGCTTAATTGCTGCTGCCATTTAGCTGGGCACAAAATAACTTGCTTTTTTTCCTGGCATGTTGTGCTACCGCTATGTTTTTATCTCACAGAATATTTGGCATAATTGGCAGAGAGTGTTCGATGAGCTACCGAAATCCCTGGAAAGGGAAATATGGGTGTTGACGGACCACAGTGCCGTGAGGACGCCAGAGGCCTGAGGCCAGGCGGAAGGGTGTCATGCAGCCTGCGGCTTCCTCACTGCTGTCTGCACAGTTAGCGCTTAAAATCTGCAGAGGAAGAGCAGTCTGTGGGACATAAGTCTCATTTTACATCAAAAAAAGCATGATGAAGAATTTTAAGAAACAAATGCATAGTGTTTTGGGCATCGAAAAAATACTTTTTCTCCATTGAATTTGTATACCTCAATCAGTACACTTTTAAAGCTACTAAACAAGAGGATTTTTTTGGCTGGAGGAGGCTAAATATTTTCATTTCTGTAGGAACTGGGTAAGACCAAGACTTAAACTGGTGGTTTTGCATCACTTCACAGAAAATGTGAAGCCCCCAGCGCGTTCCAAATATTGCATGCGTTCAGGTAACGTCCAGCTTTGATTTAGAGAATCTTCCTTGGCCAGCTCCACCATTTCAGGTCATTCTATTGTTTGTTTTTCCAGCTATTTGAATGATTTGGACCGAATCGCACAATCGAACTATATCCCAACGCAGCAAGATGTGCTCAGAACCAGAGTGAAAACGACTGGGATTGTGGAAACCCACTTCACCTTCAAAGACCTTCATTTTAAGTAAGTGGATTCCAACTATGAGACCTGCACAGTTAGAAATGAAATATTCTTGCTTGAGAAAGAAGCGCCGTAGTAACAGAAGTTTAAAATGTTTTTATAGTTGGGAATTACAGCTAGAAAATCTATTCTCAGATGATAGACCAAACAAACTTACACGCAAAAGAGGGCAGAAAGACCCATAGTTAGACCTTTGCTTAAAATAAATGTTTTTATTTAGGAAAAAACAACCAAGCAAATGCCATTGTGTCCTTTTGTTTTGTTTTGTTTTGTTTTGTCTTGAGAGCGAGCACCACCGCTAAGCTACTTCCCTGTCCCTTGCAATTTGGTAGTGAGACAGGGTCTCACTAAATTGCTGGCCTCAAATTTGCAGTCAGCCTCAGCCTCTCAAGAAGCTGGGATTACAGGCGTGAGCCACTGCGCCCAGCTTTTGCATATAATATTAGTGTTTTAAACTAAAATATTTTTCTAGGTTTTATTTTTAAACAGGAAATACTCCTTTAAGGTAACCATTCTCTATCTGTGGGAAATACCACTCTGTCTTTAGGGGGAAAGAGGAGAAGTTTCACCGCGAGAGCAGGTTCATAGGAATAAGAAGGACCTGTAAAATTACTTGTGAAACTGTTCCCTTTACCGCAAGCCAGTAGGAGCACCATAGAATGGGCTGTTAGCTTCCTGCAGTGGGAACAGGAAGGGGCAGGACTGCAGCCCTAGTGACAGAGGGGTCCTGGCATCCATTCTGTCTACACCCCTGACTCCATCTGAGCTGTGCTCAGGAGAGGCCAGCGAAATACCACTTTCAAATTCACACATGCACTTTTCTTTTTTCCATTAAATTCATGGGAAAGACTAGGGGACCAGAACACAAGCAGAAGCCACCATCTGAATTTCAGGTCCCTGTTGGTCTGTGAGCCGCCCGCCCTGTCCTTCACCCCTCGCCCCTGCCGGGCACCTGCTGTGTGACTTGGGTCCCCGCCTGCCCCTCCCCAGCGCCCCGGCCAGCAGGTCCAGCTCCCCCTGCCCGTGCTGACCTTGTGTGGGCCTTGGTATTTGTTTCTATTCTAGTTCAGATGGTAACAGGAAAGTCAAGGGAGAATTCCCCAGGAAATCCATCAGTATGAAAGGGAGCGAACCCCGCAGGACTCTGCCTTGAAAGCAAACGTGTGTGTCCTTCGAAATCCCAGATCACTGTGATGCTCCTTGACCTTCAGAATATATTGGTTTCAAAATTAAAGTTAGTTCGTAGTTCTTCCTGTTATCTCTGGCCATACTTTGAAGCTGCATGGTGTTTGTTGTTGTTGTTGTTTTAATAAACTCTGCTTTCTTCTTGTTCATACTCCTGGAAGCACCCATCTCTAAGTGCCAGTCACATGCCCAGCAGATGGGTCACCAAGCAGTGCCCTCTATGGCCAGGTTGACCCAGCACCATATTCGTATTACCAGAGAGTCGCAGAATACGCACACTGAGATAAGATACACCACGCATCGATAAGTTTTGCTTTGTTTTTATTTTTCTTTTCCTCACTTTTAACCCAACAAGGCTGGAGCCCTTCCCTCTACCCATGGGGCACTCTGCTGGTTGCAACAGAAAATTGGGTTAGAAAAGATACTTACGATTTATTTTAGCCCCTTAGGAAAATTTTCATAATTTTTATTTTCCTTGTTTTCCAAGGCTGCCTTTTAAAAATAGCTGTGAGGGATGAGTTAGATCATTTGTTACCAACTTGTGACATGTTTTTTCCAATTACGTTTAATGGAGGTCTTTGTTCTTTTTATGGGAGTTTGACTTTGTGTGGCCATGCATATATCCACTGAACGCTCACCCCCCTGTATTTCTGTAGTAGCAGAAAAAATGAGATTTTGAAGAGGAAACAACAAATCGTTAGATCATTCTCTCCAAATTGAATTTATTTGTATTTGGTTTGGCAATAGAAAATATCCCAGGCTCTTAGAATTGTTTTATCATCGTAGTTTGATTTAAAGTGTTCTGATTTAAGATAATCATTCTAAATAAGGCTTCTGTGTGAAATATCAGTTAGGCTTTGCTTCAGTTATCTCCAGCGCTCTGCAGACTGGTAATCATAGTACAGTAGAATCTCTGAGGCACCCTAATAAATAGCTCCTAATCAAAGATAAAAAAGAAATTACCAGTTCACTTCCTAAAGAAAGCTCACTATTACAGATTGAAAGCTGTCTTACAAACATGTAACATGCCTCTTATTGTTCCAAAAATATTTTAATTGGAATCCTTTTGTTACCAATGCAATGCCTTATCAGTGATTCACGTAATGAGTTTTCCAGAGCAAAAAAGTTCAATTTCAGCTCATCTTGGTTTCTCCCTGCAAAACACAAAACATTGCCCTGGTTTCTTAAATGCTATAGATAGAGTTCATAATCAGTTTATCTGACTACTAACTACTAACTACTGACTACTAACTTTCTGCTTTAATGCTTGTGTGCATTTGCATATGCTATTACTTTATGTTCCTCCATGTTTTAAGCATTCTCAGTGGACCAGTGTTTTGCTTTTGGTATTTGCTTATTTCATGGTTACCTTCTTTTAGTGGGTTTATAGCTCTGGGACATTAAATGACCACATCATGTACCTGATCTGGGAAATGTTGTCATAGTTATATTTAAATGGAGTGATTTTGAATTATAGGAAGTTTACTGTGATAATAAGATTTAAAGTATACTTTTTAAAACGTGATGCACCTTGGATTCTATTTTGAGGGGGTTTTGTTTACCTTGTTTTAAAAGACCGTGTGCTAAGGAACACTTAAATTGTTAGGTCCAAGAGCTGGGTTGTTTGTGGCTACTATGATCTGAAAAGAAAGTGCATGCAGGCGGGGTTAGTCTGGAAGAATTCCTGCCCCTCGTCAGTCACTCGGGAAAATCAGTTACCGGTGTCTGGGTTCAAGATCTTGATTTTTTCCAAGATTCTGGCTGCAAATCAAATTGGTCAAGAACTGAACCAAGTTTCCCTGTAAGGTCAGCATTGACTCTACACACTGACTTCAATTTGGTTTCCAACCAATTCGGTTTGCATCCAGAATTGTGGAAAGAATTAAACTTGTGAACTGACGCACCATTGTAACCCGCACGTGTCGATCTGGGTCATAACAGAGTTAATCCATGTGTAGGCACAGAGAACAGAGCCAGTGATACCCCCCAAGTACTCGCAGGGTGTGGCCGGGTCGGGGACAAGAGATCACACAGGTACAAGGGTGCCCTTTCACCCCACCCGGGAGGGCGCCTCTTCCTGGCTCTGGTGGCTGCCGGCCATTCTTGGCGCTCTTGGCTTGGAGCTGGATGACTCCACCTCGGGTGTTGTGTGTCTTCTCCCTCTCTCTGTGTGGCGGTGTTGTGCCTGCTTGTGTGAAGGGCTCCTTTTCATGTACTACTTCGTGCCTCAGTTTACCTTCCTGCCCTCATTTTACAGTGAGTGGCAAGAAGAAGGCCGCGCCCTTCCACTCTGGGCTGCAGAGTTTCTCCAGCTGGCCGTGCCCGAGTTCAGCCCCTGTTGCTGCTTCACAGCATGACATGGCTTTCCTTGCCATGTTATCCTGTGCTTCCTTTGAAGACCTCATCAAAAGCATATGTAACAGCCACATACCTATATTCTGTACACGATTCACAGCAGAATCATCATTTTTAAGAATTATGGTACTAGGGTTAGATCCAGGTCTTCACACTGATCTACATCCCTAGCCTTTTAAAACTTTTATGTTTTATTTGGAGACAGGGTCTCACTAAGTTGCCCAAGCTGGGCTTGGGCTTGCTGGCCTCCTGCCTCAGCCTCCCAGGGTGCTGGGATTTCCCTCCCCTGCCCCTGTCATCCACAGCAGCTGTGTGTCTACCGGCCTCTTTGCAGATGCCCTAGATGTTTTCCTGGGCAGCACGAGAAGCTTCTTCCAGCTGTGACTCACTACCCAGTTCCAAGGCCACCTTCATGTGCTTAGATGTTTGTGACGACAGCCGCCTGCCTCTCAGCACTGTCATTTCTGTGGACAGTGCCCCCCGAGAACCAGCACCCTGCGCAGTGTTTTGTTAAGAAGGGGCGATGGAGGCAGGTGCAGCGGAGGTCCGCAAAGTGAGCCCTCCTGCTTGGACTCGAGCTGCCATGCAGCCTTGAGGAAGATATTGGGTCCCCCGAGAAACTGCAGTGTTTCGCCCTGATGCCTTCCCCGAGTGGGCAGGGAGCTGTGGCCCACGTGACTGAGGATGGCTCTGTCCCTCACGGCCAGGTGATTGGAGGATGACAAAGCTCCAAGATGCTTTCAGAGTGGCCCCAAGGGAAGTATCTCAGGAGACCGCTGGGTGCCCTCCTCTGCTGAGCTGGCCTCACAGCCACCATCACAAGAGAGAGGCCAGGTGGAGAGGTTATTTCGAGTTGGGTGCACGGGGAATGTTTGATCAGGGAAGTAGCCCGAGTTAAGGTCTATGTGGTCAAATTGTTTTCCAGTTGTCTTCTGGGGCCGTTTTACAAATGAGGGCGCCAGTCTGCCTTTTACTTGGTTCTTTCTGGAGCTCTGGTACCATTTTTTTTTTAAACTGTTTTGTATCCCATCTTTCTTTTGTATCTTAACCCATTTCGATTTATGGTATGGAAGAATCATTTGTTTCTACAGCGTTCTTTAATAACAGTTTCCAGCTAAAGCAAAATAAAACCAGCTTCAAGGATGATAGCAGTAACAACACAAGTTGATGCACTCAGGTTGGGTTTGTAGGCCGGTGCTGGTCTATGGGGAAAACTCTTTTTACTTGGGAATTAAATAGGGACTTTAATTAGTGCACTGTCTAGATAAATGAAGCCTTTAAAAATGTACCAGTTCTCATAGCCTTTCCATTATATAAGTGGTTATTTCTAGGTTGCATAATGTAGTCTGTGCAAATTCAAACTTTTCCTTAACTTCATCTAAACTCCTGGAGGAAAAAGAGGCCAAGGGCCGTGGCCGCTGCGTGGCGGGAGGGCGTTGCTGACCCTTCGCTGACGGCAGTGTTCACTACTGTGTAGAGCAGAGGCGTTTGCCGCTCTCCTTGGTCCATGTTCGGGCCTCACCTTCCCGTTGCTGGTTCTGCCTGCCCAAGTAGTCTGAGCTTTGTGTCCTCTTTGGGTTTGGTTGAGGTGGCCTGCGTGTGCTCTGTGCGAGGCTTCTGCTTTATGATTTGCTGCCCCTGAGTAAGCTCTGCACCGGGAAGAGGGGTGCCCTCCTGTTCCCTGACTTTGCCCATGAATACATCCTCTGACCTCAGCGTGCCCAGTTGCCCGCTGTGTAGAATTTCACATGCAGTGCACACACTCGTGTTTGCTCTGAGAGCTCTCAGGTGCCCATGAATGCCTTCTTTGGGGACAAGGGGACATGTTTTGTTTGCTTGTTTCAGAGATGCCCATGCTAGAGTCAGAAATTATAAATGTCAGCAGACTTCTCCCCTTGGTGAAAACCAGCCTGTGACAGGTCACACAGGCCATTTCTCCTTCCTCCGGGTCCCTCGTTCCCTGGCCACCCAAGTGCGTTCTCATGGCCATTGCCTGGGTCCCAGGTGCGGTGGGACACACAGTGTGATCTCAGGTCCTGCCTTCTCCTCTGGCAGGATGTTTGACGTGGGCGGCCAGCGCTCCGAGAGGAAGAAGTGGATCCACTGCTTCGAGGGGGTGACTGCCATTATCTTCTGTGTGGCCCTGAGCGACTACGACCTGGTGCTGGCAGAGGATGAAGAAATGGTAAGTAGCGCGAAGTGGGGGGCTGGGTGGGGACCCCAGGACCTCAGGAGAGAGTGCTAGGAAATTTTCTGGGAAAAGTCTTGGGAATTCTTGCCTCTGCCTGGATTCTCTGGAAGTTCTGGTTTTCCTGGGGCCTTTCTGCTTACACGACAGAAAGGAAGTAGACCAGAGAGGCACAGGGCCACCTCGGGGAGAGGGCAAGAGTGAGCCCTGGTCTCAGCCACCCCGGCGTGCTCACCCCTGCGTTGCCCTTAGCTGGCGGCCTGCACGGGCCCAATGTAAAGAAGGTGGGGTGCATCCTGGCCTGGCCCAGGACTCAGGTCCACCCTTGTCACCTCTGCAGTTTGCATCTTCCGCACCTGGTAGGCTGTGTCATTGTATCCCACACACCCCTAAATATTTTCTGGGGAAAAATTTTCTAATAGAAACTGAAAACAGTCATTTTCGATTAACTTTAATGCACAATGGAAATTCAGCAGGAATGTTGGTTTTGTATTTGGAAAATGCGGTGTATACATTTAGACTGCCGTCCGTCTGCGCGGGACAATGGCGCACGTCCTGCTCATTTCCCTGTGATGGAAACACAGGGGGTGGGCTGGGGACAGAAGCGCAAAGCTGTCACTCACACAGTGCTGGGCCAGGTGGATTTCAGGCTGTTTGATGCCGTGGAGCCGTCCTTAAAGCCCCCACGCCTCCTAGTGCAAACCGACTGACCTCTGTAACAGAGACCTCTTTCCCCATGTCTGCACCTGGTCATCCTCCCATAACATCCTGTGGCTGGTGTCAGCACGGTGACAGCAAGGACACTCAGCATGCAGATCCCATCAGTGATGATGAGACCCCCGTCTCACCTAAAGTCAAAACTACGTAGGGACAGCACTGTGCCTTTAGGGGACAGTATCCATTTTTCGACTGACTAACCTCTATTTTCTTGTTCTTTTAAAATGTTCTCACCTTCTCCTGGCTGTGAGTGACAGTTTGATGTTGTCTTTCCTGATAGAACCGAATGCATGAAAGCATGAAGTTGTTCGACAGCATATGCAACAACAAGTGGTTTACGGATACGTCCATCATACTCTTCCTAAACAAGAAGGATCTTTTCGAGGAAAAAATCAAGAAGAGCCCTCTCACCATATGCTATCCGGAGTATACAGGTATCTGACTTCCCTGAATAACTTACCAGTCATGGATTTCTAAGGGAAGCTTCCCCTGAAGCAAGATTCCGGTTGTTGCTTTGACTGTCTGAGCTTCGTAGTTCTTACATCTTTGGGGGATTTTATCAGCCTTCTTTGAAGCACAAGTCATTTGTTCAGATAGTAATGTTTTTATGGAAAAAAAATGTGTGGAATAACTCTGTGGAGAAGCTGGTGATGGTTTCAGGGATGGGTCCAGTCTTCCCAAAGTGACAATGTGCTTTGTTCATGGCCATGTGTGGGTCCCAGGCCTGACGTGGTGTGGTGCACAGTATGCAAGCCTCACTGCAGTGCTCTCGGTCTTGGAGATGGACCTCACAAGGGGCAGGAAGCCAACAGGGGCAGGGAACAGGCTGAGGAGAAAAGGCAGAGGGGCCCTAGAGGGTCTCAGGCAGTTTGCTTGGAGGGCTGCACTTTGATACTAAGACAGGCCATGGTGCTTGGATTTTACTGCTTGGAAATGCTCTGGAGCGAGGAGAGTAGACAGAACAGTTTCTGGATTTTTCAAGAATAGTGCTTTGATGTTGAACAAAGCCGTTAATCTATCCAGGCCGCATGCCTTATCAGTGCAATCAAGACTTGTGCCAAATCCCTGGATTGCAGCTTGAGCGGTTACATGGAGCTGCTTCAAAGTGCCTGCAGGGATCTGAGTGCTCACTTCACACACACGCACGTGTGCATGCCTGACTCACTTCTTGTGTTTGTTTGTTTCATACGTTGGGCTTCTGCATGAGATTGTCCGTTAGCAATGGACACTGCTCCATAAAGAGGGGTGTGGTGCGTGGTGCCCACTGGGTTATATGGCTCTAATTCTAAATACTTGGAAGACTTCGGTGGGTTATTTACCCTCACCCCAGCCCTCTGTCTAAAATAGAAAAACGTGACAGGAACTCATTTTGTGAAGAGCAGCATTCGTCAGCTGTGCATTGAGTTAGTGTTGCCTTGTGTGGTGACCGCCCTGTCCTGGGCCACGTGATGGAGTCCTTTTGTGTCAGCACGTGGGGTCTCAGGTGGGGACAGTGTGGCTTGATGAGGTCGCAGAGCCCACAGTCGCAGTGCGCATGGAGCCCTGACCACTGACAGCCCCGCACCACTGGACTACGTCCTCGAGCGAGTCAGGAGGGAAAGGGCTGCTCTCTGGTATCACTCTGCTCAGTACCAAGCTACACTCCTGCCCAGCGTAATTCCACAAACTGGCTCCTTTCGGGCTTCTCGCTTGCTTTTCGAAAGTCATAGAATCCTAAGTCCTTTTATTCAGAAGCTTTTTTTTTTTTTGGTGCTTATTGGTAATACAGCTGTGTATCATTCAGTTTCTGATTGAAGTATCTGGAATCAGCATGGCTGTTTCCCTGGCCTAGAAATTTGCATTTCCTTTGTGCCAGTTTCAATGACATAGTGTGTGTTAGGCACCAGTTCATAATGCTGGTGGCTCCAGACGGGTCCATAGCTGTTGCCCACCTCGGGGACCCCGGAGCAACCAGGAATGGACTTGGTAGCCCTTTCCTTGCCGTGTATAAAGTGCTTCAAAGTCTCTGCAAAGGAAGAGGAGAACACAGCTCTCTCATGGCCCCCGTGATAAGATTATGATTTAAAACCTGCTCTCGGGTGGGTCCTTCATGCTGCTTCATCGCTGCCTGCTTCGGCCTTGGCTCCTGCTCCCCAGGGCTGCCGCCTCCTGCAGAAGGCCCCGTGCAGACCTGATCGCGCTTTGATTTCTCGTCCACCTCTGCCTGCCACTTCCCCTGCGCTTCTCCATGCTGTACCCCACCATCGCCCCACATTCCGTCCCTCCCTGCTCACTTCAGCTCACTGTGTGAAACCCCACGGGATCCACGGCGCTTCCTGTTTGCGTTACCAGCTGCTGCTTGGACGTGTCTGCCTTTAGCACCCAAAAGGCAGACTCTAGGATATTTTTTTCCCACCTCAAATCTCTTCTCTTCCTCTTGTGATTTATGTAATCAGCTTCCCAGTTCTCCATTCTCCAACCCCATTTTGTTTATGCTTGTTTTGGTTCAGGACAGTTCCAACACACACACACACACACACACACACTTCGCTGTTCTCTGCTTTAGACATAAAACGAGCCCAGGAATGAGCCTCTGAGGCTCTTCCTGTGTCTGGAGTGCTTGGGGTGCAGTAATTTCACTCCCCAGAAGGAGCCGTGCCCTGAGCTGTGCACATGGCGCGAGCTGTTTCCTCAAGCAGATTTTTCATCAAGGGTTGCGTGGCTTCCCTGAGCCAGCCAGACACTGCTCATGGCTTCAGCATTCCTGAGCACCAGCCCTATTGTGCTTTAATAAAATAACATGGGGTTCGAGGCAACCTAAGTGCGAGGCGTAAACTTGCTCCAGGGCTGAGGTTCCAGCATTCCTGTTTGTCCTTTCCTGGTGACTTTTGTCATCTTGTGCCCTTCCTCAGGTGCACTGCCTAGAGTGCCTGGTGCCACAGAAAGGGGCAGGGGTTTGAGGCTGGGCTGCTGTCTGCTGGAGCTCACTTGCCAGCTCTGCAGACCTGGTGCTGGTGAACAGCTGGGCCCCTGAGCAGCCGTGTTGGGACGCGTGTGAAGTGTCTGCAGCATGAGTCTGTAGGAGAGAGGCCACCTGGAGAAGGAGTTCTGCAGGGTGCAGCTCTGAGCGCAGAGAGAGCTTCTCAGACAAACACAAGGGCAGTTGTGAGTGCAGAGCGAGCCCGAGGCGGAAGGGAGCCACTCTAGCAGGCTGGTGAGCAGGGGACCTTGTAAACTGGGGAAGTAGTTCTGGATAACCGCTACAAAAGCAGCTGTCACATGTGCTGCAAAGGAACATTTTACTTAAGGATTTCATGGAGTACAAGTATCAGTATGTTTTGTTACAACATTCTGTGTGACTTTACCTATACATACGCAGACATGCATACACAAAGTCAACCAAAGTAGGACTCACTGAATTTCTGAAAGGGAAAAGTGCAAAAGGACCACCCACCACCCAAGCCAAGAAATCAAGCATTCTGGCTAGTCCACGGTGGCTTGCAGGTGTAATCTCAGCACTCGGGGAGGCTGAGGCAGGAGGGTGGCAAATTTTGAGCCCAGCCTGGGCAACTTAGTGATACCCTGTATCTGAATTAAACATTTTTTTTTTTTTTAAATAAAAGGGCTGGGGATAAAGCTCAGTGTGAAGGCCTTGGGTTTAATGCAGTGCGCCAGTCTTAACTAATTACACAGTCCCCTACCCCAGACATATACAGAATGGTCCTTAACTTTTGTCCTCCCCAGTTCATCGGAGTTGTTTTTCTAGACCTCATTTGGAGCACCTGAGGGCTTTTGTGCCTGGCTTCTGTGGTTCAGCAGAGAGTGGACCAGAAGGCCCGAGGTGCTGTGTGTGGCTTTCTCTGGGGTTTGTCAGCCAGCTGTGTTGATGAACTTTTCAGGTTGTTTCCTAAAGCCAAGGCAGCATGGCTGTTGACTGCCTGGATGACAGCTCTCTCAAGTGTGCACTCGAAAACTGGGTGCTGGTTGGAGGAGTCTGTGCAGCTGTCCTTGGGGGGAATGCATAGTTGGTGAACTGTGTGTGTTCCGAGGACCTCTTTAGCCAGTACGAAGCAGGAACTTGTCATCGGCTTTTGGTGATCTGGCCTCAGTCCACATCCACACAGTGGACGCTGAACGGTTTTCTGGACAAGGAAAAATGAGCGGAAATGCTAATTAATGTGTACACAGAAAAGGAATTAAACTGCTGGTCAGCGTCCTGCCAGCATTCCTGCTCCCCCACAGGGACAGACCTCCCCCGCTGCCAGTGCCAGGGCCCCGAGAACTTGAGCCTTGGGAATGGGTGATGGAAGAGAAGAAAAAGAGGTGGTCAGATGTGGAGATTTAGGCTGGAATCAAGATCAGGCCAGCTGAAAGCCAAACCCAGAAATGCTCAAATGATAAGAGAATGTGCAGCCTTGCAGAGTAATTCAGCTGGGTGATTTCACGCAGAGAACACTGTGCTCTCTCTCTCTCTCTGTCTGTCTCTCTCTCTCTCAGAGGAATTCTGCGAAGGAGCCCGCATTTTTAGATGCACGAAACTGACTTCAGTGTTTTCAGGTCTAGTTTGCTTACCAGCGCGGGTGCCCCAACTCCTCGCCTTACATTTTCTTCTGTTTCCCACCCCAAGGCTCAAACACATACGAAGAGGCAGCTGCCTATATTCAGTGTCAGTTTGAGGACCTGAATAAGAGGAAAGACACGAAGGAAATCTACACCCACTTCACCTGCGCCACCGACACCAAGAACGTGCAGTTCGTCTTCGACGCCGTGACCGACGTCATCATAAAGAATAACCTGAAGGACTGTGGTCTCTTCTAAGCCTTGCCATTCGTGGTGCGGTGCATTTTCAAACCAAATGAGTGCTTGTCCGTGGATTGCTCTAGAGTCTCGCAGCGACACCGAATGTAGCGTGTGGCAGTGCTCCTGGGACTGACCAAAGTCGCTCTGTTCCGTTTCTTTAGCAAAAGGTGGCAGAAGGGCCTTCCTTAGACTGAGAGGGCTGCCTGCCTCGGGGAGGGCAGGGCCGGGCTGAGACAGACTGTAGCATGTAGGTCGTGTCTGTGTGAGTGTAAATACGCGCCATGTGGGCAGTGTGTCTATGACTTTGAACCTTCCACGTGACTTTTTGCTTTCGAGGGTGGCAACTTACAGCTCTAGTGTGACGGCTTTGGAAATCACATAAATGTTTTAAGTACCCAGCACTGAATGACAGATGACCCCGTGTTTGCCAGTTTTAAAAAGCTTTATTTAAATTCATATCCTGTAAATTGTTAGGTACAGTAATTAACATTATGAATTGTCACAACCCTTATCTTGAATTCTGTGTATACCTATATTCATAAAAATGTTATTTGTATAAACATTGCACAGACTATTTTAATACCATGATTTGTTCTCTGAATTTAGTGTTTTATTGAAATGTTCTTAGAAAGGATGAGTGTACATGCTTTGGGATCAATAATTTTAAAATTACACGCATTTTAATTTTTCTTTAAAGAGTGCATACTGCTATGATTCTACATTACATTTGGTTTGAAAAACTAAAATTTCAGATTTTTGAAACTGTACTGTCTTACAAATATTTAATTTGTATTCGGTTTGTTTTCACTTTGAATTTTAATATCTAGGTGGTATTCATGCATTGCCTTACAGGTGGTGCTGGATTACTTTTATACACTTTAAACAACTACATTTTTATTTGTAACTAAGTTTGGGTGAATGTTGGAAGGATTTTTGTGGGTACAAAACTTTTTAGCATAATGAATTTTGAGACATTCATTTGTGTATTTCCTTTGGGAAATCCCTTGTATTTAGCATACATGATAGTTCCTTGTTTGGAAAATGCCAAGAAAGATCTTTGAATATTGTCTTGCTGATATTATGCAAGCTTTAAACTTATCTATGTAGCTAGCTTCAAATTTAATTATTAAACTATGTTAAAATTTTTTCCCTTAGATATTCAACTTCCCTTGCCTTTGCTTGAATTTATATTTTCTTTTTAAATTATTCTATTGTTTTTGAGAATTAAATGCATAATGACACTTAGAACATGAGTAATAGTACTTAACAAAGTCAGTGACTGTTCATTTGTGCACATAAGTGTTGACATGTCGCCTAACTCAACTTTGATAGAATCATTTGTCTTGATTCTTTACTCTGTCTTGTGACCTTGTTTTACCAAAACGATTAGTATTCCCCACTTTATTTCCTTTTTTTTTTTACTCATCCTGAAAAGCTGTGTTTTAGTAAGTGTTGGTGGTAAGCAGTTTTCCAAGGTTATTCTGTGTCCCCACGTGGTTGAAGTATGTTTGTTGGTGTACCTGTACCCGTGTGTGTGGATAATCATAAACTACATTCACAGCTGTTTGTTGGGGGCTTTTTTCTTTTTCGTAACGTGAAGAAATTCAGAGTTACCAAATTCTTTAAATGTGTTAGTTTAGATTCTTTATGTGCCTTTCATGAAAGATTCGTGATCATTCATTTTACTGGTAGGAGACCTGTCAGATCTGCATTGTGAGCTCTGTATGCAATTTAACTGTAATATGAATAAATTTGATTGAGAAATAAGGTGGAAAAAGCCACAAAGAAGCACATCTTGGTGACCATCGTTGATGAATTTCTGAACTTTACTCTGTGTAATTGTGTTACTAATAAGTCCTAATAAATTTAAATTTTTAAAATTTTACAAACCTGTTGGCTTAGCCCACTTTACGTGGCTTTGGTCAGCAATCGTGCATCACATCTTTGTTCTTTGACAAGACTCTTTTCACCATTTTAGCTATTTCAGGAACCAGAATTTCCTACGTCCCAGATTTCTCATGCAAAAGTGAGATGCCAGTTTGGACCTGCTGACATCCTCCTGAGGGTTTGTCACCTGCTGCACCCTGACCACCTCATCACCATTCTCCCTGGAGAGCAGCTGGCCGATAGCTCTGCCATGGTGGCTGGTACTGTGGTTTGGGTGGTGAAGATTGCCCGAGGTCCATATCTTCAAGACTGGGTGCACAGGGTGGCCCTGTGGGGGGTGGCGGGGTGCTTGAGAGGCTGGAGCTGGGAGCTGTGGCTGAGGTTGTACCCGGAAAGGAAACTGTGGGAACCATCCCTTCCCGTTCCTGTTTGCTGCCTGGCTGATAAGCTCAGGGCTTCGCTTTGAATGAGCACCCAGTGCTACTCAGTCCTTCACTGCAGCCCCCAGACGGTGGGACTCAGTCTCTCAGGGGTTGGAATCTCCGGAGTGATGGCCCAGTCTGCTGTTCTCTTTACAAGTTCAATATCTCAGGTGCATTGTGATAGCAGTTGTGTGTCTGATTTATTTGATTAACACTTGCTCCCACAGGGTGTCCATTAAGATTTTTAAAAATGCTGCCTGTTAACATCTTGCCTCAGAGCTATGTGTGACATCTTAACACCCATGAGATTTGAGGCTACTTTAGACATGGTCATGGACTCTGGCATCATTTTTGTTTTCCCATTTGTTTGTTTTGTCTGCAAAATCAGCTTCCCTGGCCGTGTGATGAGTTGACTGAAAATGCAGTTGCCTGCCATCCCTGATGTCACCGGGGTCACGTAGAGCGTTGTTTCAGAGAGGAGAAGGTGATGCTGACATCCTAGGCGCTGGTGCCCAGTCTGCTTTAAAATCCTGGCTTACTGTAGGAACTGGTGGGCCTTGGCGGGTTGTTGAGTCTTCCCCTACCTCCCTTTTACCATCTAAGAAAAGCAAGGATCATGGAGACTGTGCACCTGGGTGGAGTTGGTTGGTCTCCACTAAGCTCGCGGTACACGTTCAACATTACAAGGCCGTGTGGCGTGCGGTAAGCCGTCCGTGTTTCGCTATTGCTGTGGGTAAAAAATACGTGACTGTAGAGTAACTTACTAATCTGTCTCGTTGTACCTAGGGTGACACTGGAGGCCTTGGTAATGAGCCGCATCCCAGCCCCTCACAAAGTCACCCCGTTTCCCAGGCTGGGCTTGACTTTACCACCCGCCTGCCTCAGCCTCGCGGGTGCTGAGAGGAGAAGGGAGCAATCATGCCAGCTCTTGAGTGCCTGTGAACATCACAGTCAGTGTTTGTCCATCCATAGTTACCATACAAGTTTTGGAAGAAATGCCTTATATGAAACAACTATCACATTCATCTTCATAGTTAAAGCTTCAGAGTTCTGATACTGATCACAGAAAACAAGAATGAGCAACAAAAATGCACCAATTTTAGGACACTTTCCTTATTTAATGTAGCCAAAGTCATGGGAGATTTTTTGTTGCAAACTTAGTTTGAGAAATTTAATTTTCTCTTTGCTTTTCCAAAGCCCCTCTTGCAGTTAAAATGCATTTGTAGCAAGAACTTTAGATTTCACAATTCCACTGGCCTGGTTCTGGGAAGTCTGTCTTTTCTGTCTGTCTGTCTGTCTGTCTGTCTCTCTCTGTCTGTCTGTCTCTCTCTCTCTGTCTCTCTCTCTCTCTGTCTCTCTCTCTCTCTCTCTCTCTCTCTCTCTCTTTTGTAACCAGTACTGGCTTGCTGTTGTGTTTGTTTGTGATTGTTTTCATCCCCTCAGGGTTTTTTTTTTTTTTTTTTTTTTTTGGCATTACATGGAAAGTTAGAAACACATGTCATCCAGTCTGGAGTCACCAGAAGAGCATGGCTAGGAGCTGGCCTTGGGTGCATTGAGGCTTGAGCTGGGGCAGCATGGGGTGCAGTGGACCTCTGCGGGGACCTGGATTCCGCGCACTAGTTCCAGCTCCTTCCTGTCGTTGCCCTCCTGACGGACCTTGATCTGTGCATGGAAACATTGCTGCCTCACAGAGATGGCTCTCCAGACACAGCACACTGCGACAAATTAAAAATGACACAAGTGTGGAGGGAAACACGCATGGAAGACCAATCCCAGCAAGGACTTTTTAACCACTTTTAGAAATGAAGGTGCCCTTTCCTCCTAATTGTTTAGCAATGGCCTCACGAGATGTCCTTGGGGTGGAGGTGGGGACTCTGGCAGCCTAGGGGCTGAAAGGATTCGAATTGTTCTGCAGACTCCTTGCGCAGAGCCGTGGTTTGCTGTGTCCACCACAAGCCCATTTTGGAGAGTGAACGGCTGCCCAGGTTTGTACGCTGATGGTGTTGGTACTTGGAAGTGGTGGCGGCCGTGAGGGTGGGGTCCCCGGGTACCCTGCGGCTTTGTTAGCAGTGGGAGGGACCTGGTGTCCGCTTTTGCCGTCTGTCCCTGGCCCATTAGCCCCTTGACTTGGGACTTCCTCACCTGGAACCCCAAGGAGCACATCTCTTCTTCACAGGCCACCGGTCCTCAGCTAATCCTGTCCAACAGCAGAAAGCTGAGGGAAAGGGCTGCTTAAAACTGTATTTGCATGTGAACACACTGTGTGTACTCTGTGTTACCAGGACTCTGCTTCTGATAAACCAGGTCTACCATTTGCATTAGTGCCATTAGTAATTTTTACTAAACTGACAGATACCTGTGCAATTTCACCATCAATCTAGCCTTCAAAATAAACCACCGTGGCCATTGGATATTCCCTGTAATTTTTCTGTTATGCATGCTTGAATTGTAATTATTGTCTCTGGGCACTTCACAGAATATGACCCTTGCCCAATTTTTGAAAATCAAAACAGTGAAGTCAAAGCTAACTCCAACTAACTCTCCCTTTAATTTTCATTCGATTTAGTAGAATATTAGATTGTCAGTTGTTTGGCTCGTGGAACATGAATGGTCCAATAGGAAGTTCACCAGAATGATTTTGGGAGGGTCAGTGCTAGGGATCAAACTCAGGATCTTGCGCTTGCCAGGCAGGCGCTTATGCTGCTGAGC